GAGTACTGTTCGCGTGGCTTCAGTTCTCCGCAGCACCTCCGCTCCGAAGGGGAAGCTGCAGCCGAGGCGGGAGCTAGGCGCCGTCTTTGCATCATTGAACTTTTTGACATTGCGACCACCGAATTACCCTGACATCACCCCTGCACTCTGCCTGCTCGAACTCCTACACGCGCAATCAATCTACTCTGAAATCCACTGTAGTTCCAACACCGACTGCGCGAACACGTTCACCAGGATGGCGACACCGAACCCCGTCCAAAATATGCCCATCCCACCAGAAGAGCGCCTCGCTCTCGAACAACAAGCCCGATACCAGCGCATAACACGTAACCTAGCCATCGGCGGCCTCGTTATATGTCCAATAATAGCCATACTCCCACCACGAAAACTAGACCTCTATACATTCTCACTAGGCATCGGCTTCTACCTCTCCGCCGATCATCTTATCACACTACGAACAGGCCGCGGTCTTGTACAAAACCTCAGTCCAATGCGAACCATGGACCTACCGACCGAACGCGCAAAGGAGATGCAGAAGATATTGCAAGAGGAAAGGGAAAAGAGTCGGAGGACACTGGAGCGGAAGGAAGGGCAAGAAAAGGGTATACTTGGGAAGCTGTGGATGGGTGATGAGGAGGAGGGTTGGAAGGAGCGCCGATTGGAGGAAGAAAGGAAGGCGATCGAAGAAGGCAAGAGTTATGGCGATATGATTTTTGAGCAGATTTGGGACGTTTGGAATTGGGACAAGAAGAAGGGAAAGGACGGTGAGAGCAAGAAGGAGTGAAAATGTCTTTGGGTCTGCAGAGCCGCATTCTCTTGTATAACACGGATGTACGATATCGCCTTTGGGGAGGACTGCCATCCAACGAGCCCTACGGTGGGGTCTCCGGCGCCGACCAGTAGCGGGGACACGTTCATGAGCTGATGATCTAGATGTCTTAACGAATACAGAAGACCTGAATCTTTGACAACAAAGTGTCTCAAGTCAAAAAAGACAAGCAGTGAATTGTCTCTCATACAGAGCCTCCAGACGCGCTTCGGATCTGCAACACTGTTGCGAGACAATGGATGCGCAGTGCAGCTGACTGGCGAAATCAACTTCTGACAAATGTCTCGAGCACGTCGCAACTAATTCTATACTTTCCATCACAGCAAATAATCCTCTTATGACAAGATAGCCAAGGATTACGCGAAACGAGCCTGAGCACTAACTGTATGCACAGGAGCGATGTTTGCCTATCGACCACGTACTCAACGTAGGCATCCGGCCATTGGCCTACTCCAGCGCCACCATCTATGCTCACCAAACTCACCGCGTCTACCTGTTTCAGCTCAGGCCAACAGAAGGACCAAACAGTAATTATATCTAGACATCGTTTACGCAGCCTCCCATTTCCTGTGTAACATCCTTCCCGTATCGACAGAGCCACAGATCTCGGTAACAGTACGCGCTTTACTCATTACTGCAATCCTACTGGGAACCTACAGGATGTCTCAGCCAAACACGCCACTCAGTCACGCAGCCGCCGATCTGTTCCTTCCATCCATGGACGAGGAGGAACAGCTCTCTCAAGCCGACTTCAACGAACTATTCGGATCAGATGGCTCAGGGCAGCCTATCTTCTCGACGAACAACAGCGATATACTCGATGACTTTGGTCTTACATATGGAGACGGTGCTTTTGCAGCTGTTGACTCACCAAACACCTCCACAACTTCGACTCCCGACTTCTCAAATTACGACTTCGGCCAAAACGCCGCGGCATACCCGACTCCCGGACCAAGTACACCCCATCCCTACCCGCTAGATCTGCAACGAGCCTTCACAACAACAACTGATGATCCAGACCTCAACGATCGTCCTCGGCCTATGCAATGTCAAACAAACCATGCCTACCTCCAATCAGGACAGCCATCGCAAGGCTACGGTCGTCGTCGATCTTTGAGCACTGGCGATACAGATCGCATTGCCGCAGCCAACAGCATCACCAATCCCACTTTCGTTCGTCTCCAAGCACCGCGTGCGAGATCAGCTACACCAGAACACAAGAGAAGGCATGCCGCGCACTTCCAACATGGAAGAAGTGTGAGTCAAGGTCCGGCGCCGAGAGGAAGGCCACTCAATCCAACAAGCATACCGTACTATACGTACAACGATACATTCGTCGCCGACATGTTCTCTACTCCTATCGGTACGCCGCTGAACGAGATGAGAGATCGCCGGGATCTGAAACATGGGACTGTTCACAACAGTGCCGGCATGACAGATGTTGCAGTTCGCTCGAATAACCCGGTCATTCGGCATATGACACGACCTGATGAACTTGCACGAAGCAGACATATCATCGAGATTGGCGCTCTAGCGGTTGCCAGTCACTTGACGCTGGATCCTAGACTTGGGCTACAAAGTCCGACCACAAACCGCGCCCAAATCCTCAAGAAGCTCGCCGATATCGAAGAACATCTGGAAGACAAAGAAGCAAAGGAGGCTCTTTCCGCGTGTAAGACGATCCGAGACGCTTTGTCGAAGAGGATTGAAGCTGAGTTCATCGATACAGCAGACGAGGTGGCAGATGATTATTTGGAGGCTCCCAGTAAAGTACTTGAAGGAGCGCAGTATGGTATTTATGATGGTCACGATGACAACGAAATCATGGGTTTGTTGATGAGAGAGAATGGTGTTGATTGCCAGGAGACTGGATAAGATTCAACAAAACGTCCAAAACCGACAAAACTGGGCGTCGAGCAAATAGGTGCGAGGTGTAGCGCGATTGGGTCGTTGTTGGGCTGAGCGTATACATGGTTGATTTTGAGCCATACATGATGTGAATAAATACCTAGGTACCTCTGATGCTCAAGAAACGAGTGGTGCTGTACATTGGTTCTTTAAAATCATGCCTGCCACAAAACTTCATATCCCGATGCCGCTACAAATTCGATTGGCAAACAGAGTCTTACTTCTGTGAAGACTGGGAGCGATGTGAGTGCTGCATCTCGTATTCCAAACACGCTAGCTCGCGACTTCACATGACCCATGGAAGCCGCCCCACCCGCCCCAGCTTACATACATACAGACCTAGCCACATAACCTCAAACGTGTCAACACGGGTGACGCTCCTACAATTCATCATCATACCTCTCATCATGATATTCCGGATAGCGCCTCTCGCTGCGATTTTCGCGTTTGCACGATGCGGAGCTGCTGAAGTCGCACCGGAAATTACGACAGTTGCGGAGGGCTACAACGTGATTGCCAAGATCCCATGTGTTGGGTGCCCTTTCCTATACCAAGACACATCAAAAGGCAACGATGCGCCATGGGCTCAGAGAAAAGACGACAACGCTCTAGTAAACCATCCCTACTGTCAAGGAGACCAAATCACCCGCTAACGTGCCCCAGCTTCTGAACATCTCCCTTCCCTACGACTCAGCGCATCTAAGCATCAACAATGCCCCACTTTTAGGAGACTCCAAGATTCTACCCAAAGTATACGTTAACCAAGTCTTGCTGGACATATCGAAAGATGATCTCGACAAGCTCGTCGCATCTGATCAACTCGACAATCTTGGGGGCGCTTACTTCGGCGCTTCATACGCCTACTCCCTGCGCCACGTCAAAGACTCCAATGCATTGGTGTTGCATTTCGATATCATGCAATTGTGGACTGATCTGACTTCCCCGGATCTCACAATCGTTATGGACAGAAAAGAGCAGAAGATCCTGGAACTCGTCCTTCTGCAGCGTCCCCTGTTGTCCGCCGGTGACCCAGCAAGCGCATACGAGATTATTCGCGCTGCACTCATCCCGCGCGCACAGTCAAGCATCAATGGCAAACGAATACAAAAAACGGCAATGTGGTTCCACGATTGGGACGACAATGGCAAGAAGGGTACAGCGACTCATGTCGTCAACTCGGCTTCTGCGTCCTTTGTAACCTGGCTTAGTTCCGGTATCTGGTCACTGTTCATTTTTATTCTCGCAGTCATGGCATTGTTCGTCGTCGTGTGCATGTTTTGCATTTTTGGGTGTGGATGGCACAAAGATGAGTATGAAACAGCACAACACGGAAAGCGCAGCAGTGGGAAGGGTGCTTGGGGCGGAAACGACATTGAGGCCGTGCGGAGGTTCATGACGCCTGAAGAGCTGGGACTCCGAGGCAGTGGGAGGGTTGTGGGGGTTGGGAAAAGCGATTGATGGGCTGCGAGATGAAGAGCCATCATCCAGTCCCTGATCCATCCTGATTCACTTCCTTCCTGACCTCGGCTCGATCCTCGTACTTTCGATGCGCGACCACTTTCATTATCATCGTCGTGTTCTTGAAAGTCTCGAAAAATCCTGCTGCAGAGCCCACTTGGCAATGGCACACATGTTCCCGACCGCTAGCGCGTCACCGTCGAGCCCACAAACAAGAACAACCCTGGGCAGATCACCGCGCCAGCGAACACATCTCCCGCGCTCACACCTCCACGATGGCACTACCGTGACTGTGACGATCTTCGGTGGTCCAAGCCAAATATCTCAAATAACCGTTCACGCAAAACGAAAAAGCAACCGGCTGCGACGGCCATGTTGCTTCTGCTAGCGACGCGCGACGTCATTCCGTTACTCTCCGCGCGCCGCTAAACGTCATTCACCCAAGCTCATTTCAACGTCGCGACTCGCACCGAACCCTTTCATTGCTCGATCTTCGCGGAGGCCACAGTTAGTCACATAGCTAATTCCAGGCCAGAGAACTGTTGGTCTCGATGCGCGTCAACGTTGGTAAAGTTTGACAGCAGTTCGTCGCAAGGCATCGTCATGGTCTGGGCTTGTGAGGTATGACCGCATAGGTTTGGTTGATATGATAAAGACCCTCAAGTTTGCATGTTGGTGGAGTATCATCAGTATAGTAATCAATTTCATCACTTAATTCACAAGGGTGCTGTCCTGCACGCCCACCGAACACGCACAATGGCCATTACCAACACCACCTCCACCGTCCAGGCAATTTTCGCCCTCCATGTCGTTACAGCAGGCGGCTCCATTATCCTCATTCTGGCCGCTCTTGCGTTGTTTGGTCGTCAACTCGTCGGCGGCCCTGGACGTCCCCGCACATTCAAGAAGTTTAACAGGTCAACTCTGAACAGGCACAGGTACACCAATCCATGCCCCCTCTATGCAATGCCAAGTCAACTAACACACAACAGCTCCACCGGCACACAACTCTTCCTCATCACGGGTCTCACCACCCTCATGATCGCCTACGCCGCGCAATCCTCCATCGTGGCCCTCCAATCCCGCCTCCCCTCCCCCTTCTACATCACCTCCGCCTACGCCTACCCCCAATACACCCAACCCTTCGGCAACAACGACTCCATCAAGTATGGAAAGATCATCTCCATCCTCTCCTTCACCTACCAAGGCGCCATGATCATCATGAACGCCTGCATCGTCGGCGCCATCTGGATCCACGCCAACCATGTCCAGAACAACGGCACTGGTATCAAGGAGCCTGGTGTCCTGTCTTGGGCTCTGAACGGCTTCTGGATGTTGGCTATCCTTGCTCTTGGCTTTGCTAGCTGGGGTGTTGGTCTTGCGCGCCGCGGTAGTGGAAACTCTGCGTTGGCGTACCCAAGTCTCATTGCTGTAGACTACATGGTGAGGACGTTGTACGTTGTCTACGTAGCCACTGTCATCGCTGCGTCGACTAGTGCGACGCTTGAGGCGATTTTGTGCTGGATTGGTATCAAGAAGAACGGTGTTGTCGGTGTAAGTTTACCCCCCTCCTTCTGTACAAAAGCATGTACTAACGACATCTAGAACCGCTCCAAGTCCGCCCTCACCCGCTTCGTCATGCTCGTCACCCCCATCGTCTGGGTCCGCAACGCCTTCTCCATCGCCCAGCTCGTCCTCCTCTACCGCAACACAAACAACTACTCGCGCACCACCAACCAGGCCCTCGCCTTCCTCTTCATCATCTTCGGCGAGCTATGCGACCTCGGTATCTTCGCCCTTGTTCTGCTCGGCGCCTGGAGCTTTGGCCGCAAGGATAACCAGAGGCCTGAGGTTGTCAAGGAGGCTAGGTACAGCGAGAGCATGAGGGAGAGCGCTTACATTGCCAACCCTAATGCTGCTTATGTTGCCGACCACGATACTGCTTATGTTGATGGACCTGCTGGACCCGCGTTCGAGGCGGGTAGGGGGCCTACTTACATTCCCCATGTTAACTAAGGGGACAGTGGATGTTAGTGTACGATTTGATGTTTGTGGTGGAGAGATTTGTTTTGAAGCGTTCCAGCGAGTATATACTATTAATGATCAATGTTTCATCGTTTAGTCCTGTTCGACACGCCGCTTTCTTGTCTAAATTGACTTGTCGATGGGGTTGCAGCGTCGATAATGAACATGCCCTCAAAGAAGATTATGAGCTGTATAGCATTAAAATGAAGATGTGTTGTGACTATTTTGGGTACTGTATAACTCTGTATACTCAGTATGGAAATGATGGAGGCTCTAAAGAACGTCTAACATCATGAGACACTTGAAGGAATGAGGAAGTAATTCTCGCAGAATACCATTCATTAGAAGGTTGTCGGGGTCCGTCTTCCTTTCCGGCTCGAGCCGTAGGACATCGAAGGTTGGGCTTGCCAAATGTTTCTAACTCGGGCGGCACGAGTAGCTAGAGGTTCAACGGCAATATCAGAAGATACCACTTTATTGGTTTCTTCCAATTCCTCTGCGCCAGATCGAATGGGCGAAGGTGAGGAAGCGGAAGGGGTTTGCAACATGCTGTGGTGAAGTCAGCTTTGAGACTGAACTTCCAGTGATGCTGCTTTTACCTCGTCTGCTCGGTGATGTAGCAAGCCTTGTCTCCATGGGAGTGGTATGTGCAACGTTTGTATTGCTGGCGCAGGGGATTGGCGATGCTCGCAATACGGCAGCGTGCAGAGAAACCAACGCAAACGTCTTGGACGAAACTGACAGGCATCTTTGGTATGACAGAGGTCCACCAAGCATGGGAAGTATCCCAGACTGTCATGTCTACCAGCAACTTTTGGAGCGGGCCTCCCGTACAAGTTTGATCATCGGCAGCTCCTATCCAAGAAGAAAGGAAGCTGGTCCGCTGAGCGGTCTCTGCGTCTTTATTCCACTCTACAAGAGCATCAATGATGTTGTCCCTGAAGTCCGCGTCTTGAAGGTAATCCCCAAGCAGATATCCGCGCACGAGACTCGAGCTGACACCGATGGAGCTACTAGGTCCTGCAGGTACAGCATAGAGAAGGCCGGTGTAGAGCCAGTTGATGTAGATTTTGTACACCGTTGCATCACACTCAGGCAGCCGGACGATGCGTTCCTGCGACTCGCGCCAAGGTCGACCAAGGGCAGCCTGGAAGAACTCGGATGACGCTCGGATGAGATTCTCGTGAACAGTGAAGTCGGTATGATTGGGCTCACATCCAACGCGGACCGTGATGACACTGGTGCCCATGCTACTGGCGTTAGTCGCTGCGCTTTGGGTGTATGGTGTTGACTTACTTGAGCATCTTGGCTTGTGACTGGAGCGTCATGTTGGCGATTTTGAGCTTCGTGATGCGGTGCCGCTATGCGCCTTGTCAAGTGCTCCTGCCGTTACTGGCACGGTAGCACTGGTATAAACTTCCTATAATAATGAGGGAAGAAATAGAAATGCGTCCCCAGTAAGGTGGAGGATGTAGATACTGAGTGTTTGGGAGTGAGTGCATGGGACCCATTGACGTGAGGTTAACTGAGAGATGTGACGTGGTTCTTGCCGCGAGTTTTGCGAGTGAGGAAGGAGCGCCTGGGAGCGCCTCACCTGCACATCGTCTTCCACCACAGAATTTATGTCGCACAGAACGCGATCATCGATACTCTACTTAACGATTGTTTTCCATGTTGTAATCATAATCGATTTTGAATGAAATGTAATGACACCATGTCTTCATCGGCACACCCTGGACCTTTACCCACCCGAGCACCGCTTAATAGTCAGCTCCTCTTCATAGCTACGGTAGACGGCGATGCATCCGAAATAATACTGTCTCGGGCGTTGCCACGGTTCAAGCTTGTCGCTTTGCGTCTGGTGATTGGGCGTCGTCGGGAGATGGGCGTTTCGTTGTGATAGTGCGAGACCTAGACCTATTTAGCTGTGATTATGGCGTGAGCAAAGGACGTTACGTACGTATCGGCTTTCTTCCTGTAGCATGGCTTCTTGTCGCCGTGACAGTGGTACTTGCAGCTCTTCTCCCAGCGATGAAGCGGTGATTTGGCCGACAGTTTAGATACATATGCTTCACCGACAGTCAGGAGGATATCCATGATCAGATCCTGGTCTATGTCGTTCCTGTTCTTAACCAGATTTCGAAGTTCGCGTCTGCCCATGGTCCATGCAACGAGGTCTGCAACGAGCTTCCTAATTGGTGACCCAACAGGTACGATTTGGTAATACCTCGATCCAATGCCCGCCGGAAAGTTCGATGCGTTAGATTCTATTTCACTTGTACATTGAAGTAGGCTGTCGCTCAGGGCATCTTGAAAGTCGGTGGCGTGCAGGTACTGACTCAGTGTGAACAATCGTGGTAACTTCAACAGCTCGTTGTCCAGGCCTGATAACTGCTCATCAGCGTGTTGCCGATTGTGGATAACGCCTGTGAGAAGCCACCGGTGATAAATGCCAAAGGCGCCTCTATCGCATTCGGGCAGCGAGATGGTGCGCTCTTTCGATTGCCGTGGTCCTTTCATCGTGGCATCGACGAACTCGGATGATGCACGTATAGCATGTTCAGAGACCATGAAGATAGCCTCACCGACTTTTACAGTGATCATGCTTTCGTTCGCACTACAGATAGTCAGTTTGTTTCATACTCCTTTACGGTATACTTACAAGGCGACCTCGTCTTCGAACCCTCTCTGCATTATGGCGATTGTCCTGTCGCTCGATTGCTGTATGCGCGTTGGTGCTGGAAAGATCAAGGCCGTCGCTGAACGAAGTGCGAGATGCCGTGCGATGTCCTCTCAAATGAGCCCGGACACCGTGGGGTGAGAGTAGCTCGCGCCTTCCACAACATCTAGCGCGAAACTTCGCTTCCGTCGCTGCCTAGCCTCACTGGCTGCAACACCTGCACCATGTCTGCATTAAACAAAATATCACAAGTGATGAGGAATGAATGCATTTCGATACGCTCGCTCGCTAAGACAAACAATAGACACAAGAAATAATAAATCGCTCAACGACAGAAGCGCGCGCCATAACAACGCACACGCTGGGTATCTTACAAACATCCAAAAGGTCATGCCATGCCCGGCCGTATCCAGAAGGAAAGAAAACCTTACCAATCATTCCACGTCTCGAGACCGCATCAAGCGACCTAAAAGCCTCAAGCATATGCTCCTACCCGGTCATCGCCATGGAAGAACCCACTCCCATCGAACCCTTCTTCCTTCGGCGTGGCCCATACCTCTGGCGAGACATCATCGTAGCTCGGCTTGCGGGCCAGGTCTTCAGAGTAGACGCTCGCGTCGTCGTTGGCCCATCGCTGGTTCCTGTCGTGACTGGTCTGGCCGTAGACGACATTCCGGTCGTGCGCTGGTGCTCGCGGTGTGGAGCAGCTTATCCGCTGATCGCCTTCACGCGAGATGATCAAGGTGTCGGGAGAAGGAGTAGGATACGATGGCGATGTGGCAGTCGCCGAAACAATGAGCTTGTTCACTAGGGCATGCAAGTCCGAGACATCGTGTTGCAGAGTGCGAACCTGCTGTTCCAGGTCCTTCCTCGCGCTCCTCTCGTGTCTGAGCGCCTCATAGACGTTCCGCAGAGCTCGCGCAGTCTCCTCGTTACTTCCAGTGTGGGGAACGGGAGGTGCGGCAAGCGTTGGAGAACCAGGCGCAGGCTCGGGCTCAAGAGTCTCACTACTTGATTGGACGATGAGCTCTTGATGAATGCTCGGAGCTGATCTTGAGTGAGAGCGCGATGCGGATGCCGACGAACTCCGGTTCCTTGATCGCAGGTTGCGAGGTGCGTTTTCGAGGATGATGGTTTGCCGGTTGTTACGGGATGACATCCGGCGGGTGAGTGTTTCGAGATTGGAGTACCTGGATTCGAGACCTTGAACGCGATCCTCAATGGGTATGCGATGTTGACTCTTCGCTGGTGGCGGAGGTGGTGGGGAAATGCTTCGGACTTGCGGGGACTCTGGAATAGTTTCTTCCTTGGGTCCAAACAACGCATTTTTCAGATCACCGAAGTTGAAGGCTGAGACTGGGGGCTGAACACTACGTTCTTGCTCTCGGTTCGGCTCTTCCGTTATCGGCGTCGCGGTCTGCGATTCGTCCGCTTGGACGAGCGTTGCGCTCATCTCGTTGAACGACTCGTTGTCTGGTTCTCGGATCATGGGCTCTTGCATCGGCACGGTGCGGACCGTCTCTACAGTCTTTGCTGTTTGCGGTCTACTATAGATGCTGCCGGACATGTAGCTTTCCCTCCAGAACTTGATCTCCGCACTCCTGCCTCTCTCCGTCGAGGCGCGCTCTTTCGCGAGATTGTGAAGAGCATCTGCACTTCTTGATCTCCGTCTGTCGTGTTTGGACGTTACTGTTTGAGTCGGGCTGGACAGTGCGATACCGATACCGGGAGACATCTCATCTTCTTCAGCCTGTTCGTCCCACGCTGCCAGCTTTTCCCGAGGCTCGTCGAAACTGTGTCGATGAGTAATGGCACTTGGTACAGTGGGCAGCGTGGCTCTTCGGCGACCGAGATCCGGCCTGTCCGTATCGAATGTAAGGTACTCTTTCGGCGGACTTGCCGGCGGCGCATTCACGTTCATGGGGTACGGGAGATGTTGGCCTAGCGGATGTAATGGCTGTAGCTCCTCCACTGGCAGATCAGATATCCGAGGATTGGACGGGGGTGTCCTTGGTTCTCTTGGTGGTGTTGATCTCAGCATGGTAGTGTCCTGTTGTTCGTCAGATTTCATTCGTCACGCTGTTCTAGACAAACTTACGCTATGGTGGTAGCTGTGGCCACGCTGCATTGGCTCTTCTTCCAGATCATCCGCTCGGTCCGGGCCTTTTCGCCCGAACATTTTCCGGAATACATTTCTGAGGCCGCTCTTGCGCTTATTCTTCTTCTGCGCAGCTTTACCGGCGCTCTCTGGCGTGGAGCGAAAGGGCGACGGGGAAGCGATCGAAGTCGATGGCACAATGCTTTCGCGCTGTACTTCGTCCAAGTGTCGCACTCTGGGTGGGGATCTCGAAGAAATCGGGCGCTCGGGAGCAGCCGAATCGCGCTGCGGCTGCTGCTCTCCCACAGGATTTGATCGCAAGGCTGACATATGCTGTTCAGGCACAGGCGGAGGAGACTGAAGTGGTCTTGGCGGGGTTTGCGGCCTTTCATACTGCTCTTGTGGCGCGTCCTGCGGCTGCAGTGTGCGGTCCAGCGCGCCATTTTCCGCGTACTCCTTCTCTTCCTCTTCATTCAACGGCACATCCTCGGTAATAGGGATCGGCCCGCTAATTTTTAAGTTCCCTCTTCTGATAGCCTCAGCCTTCCAGCTAGAGCGCTCAAGAGGCGAGGGCGAGGGCGTCGACGCACTCATATCGGCGACGACAAAGCCTTCTCTTTGAAGCATATGGATGCTGCGATGTTTTGGATTCCGAGTGTTGGCGAATGCGCTTCTGCGGACGAGTTCTGGAAATTGCGCTTAGGCGAGGTTTACCGGGATGACCCAGCGAGCGTGAGGATCTCGACTACCATCACCGATGTTGCGAAAGCAGTTGATGGATAAGAAGCAAAGCAAAGGCGGACCGGAGCGACAAGCGCGGCAAACGTTCCTCCTCCGAAAATAGATGCAAGGCAAGAATAGGCAATAAGGAATTAACAACGATAGCCCCCAAGACTCGAAAGAAGCGAACTCGATCAGAAAGAGCGACGAGGTTAAACAATAGAGAGACGTGCCACAGACGACGTAACGAGAAGAGCAGCAAAAGAACGGGGGGCGGCGTTCTTAGGGTCTATGTATCAGACCGAGAGCGTCATGTACCCTTTGACAAGGGTGCCAATAGAGTGGGGAGGGTCAGTCGGATGGGGGGCGCGGCGGGAAGGAGGAGGCTATTATTGATGGCGCATTTGCGAATCAAGCAGTATGACCGGCATTACCTTTGACCACAACACAACGGGGGCTGGGGGGCTGCAGCAACAAATAAAGGCCTGATCGCTGCTGCACAAGCGTTGCATGAGAGGCCAACAAGTCGGACCACTGCGCGAACGAACGACGTGCAGGTTGTTGGCGATGGGGCTGTGGGGTTTTGCGTCCAGTACAGCTGCATGTTTTCGCCAAAGCGGACTGTTGCAATCGATACGTTCGTTGGCTGCAGCACGGCACGCGCAGGCGCGCTCGGCCACTGTCCTCTTCAGCCCTTCTGAAACATGCGGCTAACACGTCTTGGACCTCAGCTTCCCTGTCGGCCTCTCAAACTTACCACTCGTCCAGAACCGCCATCTCAAATCCCAGTAAAGCCGTCGCAGAGCTAATCCTTCTGCGTCTACAAATAGCGGCTTGCAGCACTGACCGAGGCGTTCCACGAACCCTCCTCTTGTCGCGTCAGGTCTGAGCGCGAGAAGACATGGGGTCGCCAGGACGCATGTCATGTCATGGACCCTCGGCCGTGCAGACTAACAGGAATCCTTGCTCCAGCCTGCATTAACGCGTTTGAGGCTGTCCGCGGACTAACTCCGACGACGGCCTGATTGGAGCTGATTACTCTGGCCCACACCACACCGTCTATCACGACTGTTTGGTACTCTACTGCACGCGTTACCTGTTGACGATGTACGTTGATGTAAACATGATTAATAGGGGAGGCTGGTCGACAGTAGCCGAAGGGTCTCGAAAGACGTTGACAGAAGCGACGTCGCAAGCGCTGGGCGCCGTTTTGATGAAGTTTCCGGCCTGCGCTGATTGCTCGATAGTATTGCGCCATGTATTGATGGTCACGACTCGCCACCACACACACTTTATCCTGCACGACACCGTTCAGCATAAAGAGTTTGAGAGAATGAGCGCATTACTCGCTGTCTATTCTGCGCGCTCTTCTGGCCCTTCTCGTTTCTCTTTTGCGCATATATGTAATCGCATGCAAGCCCTGCTTCGCCGTCTTACCACCGTAGTCTCATGCCGCATGCCACTTTGGCGATGACATTCGGCGTATGTAGGTGTTTTGGCGCGAGCTGTCTCGACTCGCGACTTTGACGCGGGACTACTGCAGCTAAAATCACGCCGCATACCATGGCTGCAGTATCGCGCTTCGCTTGCGAACCAAACCATAGCGCTGAGACCATGTCCTCCCCACACCACTCCAACATGTAGTAGCGAACCACAACTCCGACATTGTTTGTTTGGGAGCCCGTGACAGCGCATGTGTTACAGCCTCGCTTGCTTACACCCCTCATCCGCCGTTTTCTTGGTCCACGTAGACGTCTGCCAAGTTGGGATACCTGAGATCGGCGTGGTCTTCTAGATGCTGCATCCAGGCTTTTAGAAACTTGGAGCCCCTGTGAATCAATCAAGTCAGCAACAATGCATGGCGCTGCCGTGTGATGGGCGTATAGAATCCTCCGCCGTATAGCAGGGTGCCGAGGGTCTGGTCTCGGTGTGGGTGACGAAGGGTTCCCGTGTGACAAAGCAAGGGGGCGTGTCACGGCAGTTTCGAGTTACGCGGGTTTCAGATTTGCTTGTTCGCAAAGACCACATCCCGACGCCCACGTTCTCGGGTATGACCGATGTCCGCGACTCCGCGATGACGATGAGGCATCGGCTATACGACCAACAAGGAAGGCCAGTGTGCTGGGGACATGAATTGGGAATGAAGAGGGTACGTACTTGCTTATTGTGTCTGAGTCTCCGATCACACAAAGATGTCGCTTTGGGCGTGTCATTGCAACTGCGCCCTTCATTAGCACCTGCAGCCACGTGTTCATGCGTAGATATTGCGGCGAGTCGGCAGAGTAGGAGCTGACGTACCGTTGAGCCGTCTCTTCTCGCCCAAGAAGCCGACCTCATGCTCTGGATTGCTCCGTACTGTGCTGACAATGACGGCTTCCTTCTCGCGGCCTTGGAAGCCATCCACGGATCCTAGTTCGATACCAGGGTACGCCTCTTTGAGCATTCCAGCAAGCAATGCGAGCTACCATTGTTAACCTTCAACCCCACAATACAAAGTTGACGCGCATTGCACACGCATTATGGGCAGGGTGGAGAGACGCGTACCTGTGCATTGTATGGCGTAACCACCGCGATGTCTTCCGCTTTAACGCCGGCTTTGATCAGATTCGCGACATGCATCTTCACCAACGCCGCTTCTGCTTCATTAGATTTGCTATCGCCAAGACTCATGCCTTTGCCGCCCTTGCCTATCACACCCTCGTCTTCGATCTTTTCAGGAAAGTCACCGCCCTGAGTGTCCCAGAAGACGAGCGGCTCTTGTGTATCTTCAGTTTCTTCCACGTCGTACTTCAAATCCTTCAGTAGACGGTCCTTGACGAAGTCTGCTGCGATAAGTTTCGAATCATATAGTTCGTCCGATGGAAATCGCATTATCTTTTCATGCATGCGATATTGCGTCGTTAGCATCCGCTTGATAGATGGTCCATGTAGAGAAAGTAGCCTGTCGAAAAGAGTTGTTTCGAGCGTCATGCCGGTAATCAGCTTGCCAGCGGGTTTCTCCGCGCTATCGTCACTCTTGCTGGCTTCCTTCTTGGCCGCTTTCGTTTGTTTCGAGTTGAGCGACTTGATAGTGGGTGGTAATTGGAGGTGGTCGCCGGCCAACACCAGCTTACTTGCCTTGACCCACAATAAAGGTACCCAGCATTGAGCCTCCAAAGCCTGACTGGCCTCATCTACAATGACGACGTCGAACTCTTGAACTTTTAGATGAAAGCCACCCGCGCCATGCAGCGTCGCAAGAACGACCTTGCTGCCAGTCACGAGATTATTAACACATCCTTTCTCTCGCTCTCTGTACTCTTGTCGGAGCTCTTTTAGCTCGCTGTAGATCTGACGGCGCTCTTTGGCGTTGCGGGTCTTACGGATAGAAGTTTGTTTGTCATCCATTTCTTTGCGAACATCCTGGACTAAGGCGGCTGCTTCTGACGTTCGTGTGAGCACGTCGAGCGAGTGGTTCAAAACAGATGGTAAGAGGCGTGCTGGGTGCCCGAGGCGCACCATAGGTACTTTGTGAGATGCTAGACGCTCGACAATGTTATCTACGGATATGTTCGATGGACCGCATACCAGCAAGCGAAGCTTCTGTTTGAGCAATTGAAGAATAAGCTCAATCAGGGTGTGCGTCTTGCCTGTGCCTGGTGGGCCATGGATCAGCGCAACCTCTCGGGAAGCTAGCGCAAATCTGATAGCCTCTTGTTGGCTGTCATTGAGAGATGGATCGTTCCACTCGAGCTTATGGAGGGGGTTTGATGGATCGTTCAGGTCTGAAGGTAGGGGCGTAGGCGATGCCTGTCCAAAGAGTACGCGCATGAAGGGAGTGTACTCTTGGTCTCCGAGCTTCTGCAGCCTGTTCATCGTTTGGTTCATCCTATCATGAATAAGTTCAGGTAAAGATTGAAACAGTGTATTCGGCCAGGACGTACCTCTTGTAGGTGACGTCGTTCGCCAATTTGACTCTAGTACATGTATCAGCCTCATTATTCCTGACACAGCCGCCCACAATGTGTAAACTAACATCCATAGCTTGCCGCCAGTAGGCACATCTGCGTCCTCTTTGTCCAGTACAATTTCCACATTCTCCCTGCGTACCCTGAGAACTACGCCCGAGGCGCCTTTCTTCTCGAGCTCTTTCTTTTCCGTCTTCTTCGCGCTCCCGCTAGGTTGATCTTGAACCGCGACTATATCGCCCACACGTATGCCGTGTTCTGGGATGTCCGGCTTCTCGCCTTTGGCCACAACTGCCGAATCTAATCCCAGCTCAACTACGGTCTTGCCGCCCAGCCCTGTCCGTATAGAAGATATGTTAAGGTTCAGGATCGCGAGACCGGCGCGTGAGAGGGCGGTAGGCGTGTGTGACGAGAGAAGCGCGTTTGTTTCGGAGAGCTCGGCTTGAAGCTCGGCATCGAGCAGGGTGAGCTGCGAGGCGGCGAAGGACGGAATATCTGTAGGGTTCGGCATCGCTACTGGTGGCTGATTATGTAGACGTGGGGTGGTGAGTTAGCGTGAGAGTTGATCAATTGCTGATCTGAGAAGCTTCGTTGGAATAGCAGAGCCTCGCGCTACTTCAAGCAAGTTGGGACATTATACTCGTGTAGTGGTTCGCGCGACAGTTTGCTGCTGGCCAAGGGCACCACAATGGCTGTTGTGTATCTGCAGTGCGCCGACTGCGAGAATGTTTAGGCCGAGCTAATATTCCAAGGTTACGTCATGACACTAACCCATTTCGGCTTATCACCAGCAAACTACACGGGCCAACGCGCAACGAAGAAGTGAACATGTGCTTAATCCAGAGAAGGCTTATTTACGCACTCTTCTGAGCTCTAGACTCATTCTCAAGCCTGATTATTGTACTCGTGAGCAAGTTTGTTTGGCTACCTACCCAGGTAGGTACTACAAATTGGCGCATACGCACGAACTCATCATCGCATTGCTCAAATTCTACTTGGGTAGCCTTGATTAGTCCAGATTCGGTCCAAAGCTTTCTGATACTACCTAGGTACAAAACGCGCCAGCGATTGTAGCGCAAATTCAGCACCTTACATATCGTTGACATGTCCCATGCAGAAGCCAGTGAAGTTGTACAACCAGAATTCCGTGTCTTGGGCACCCTTAACAACCAGGCTGGTCTGATTTCGCTTCAACCACCTTCCATCCAGTTCTTTGTCTGTCGCAACTCCTATCCACCGACTGGGAGGCGGTAATTGCCACCACTGGCTGGAGTCCGCACATGCCAACGTCGTTCCCAAGTGCGCACTAGTGTACAACCCCGTGGGACTCTTATTCGTTTCTATACTTGCAATAACGATGAGAACCACCATAAGACCAACGAGCAGCAGAGTATAGATCCGGTACCATGTGCTCGAGATACAGGGTAAAATCGTAGTCGTCGTTTGACCGCGAATGAAGTAGAAGGCGTACAATACGAGGGAAACGGTGATAAAAACGAAGTAAAACAATCCGAGCAGAAAAGTTGTTGTGGTGAAAAACGTGTCTCCTAATACTGGTGTGAAGATAAGGAGTGCTAATGTCCAAACTCCTCCGAGGAGAAGAAGGAAGAAGATGCGAAAAAGACAGCTTTTCCAGGATTCGGTGGGCGACGTGAATCCAGCTGTTTCATATGGCGCTGTTATGAGCGGTTCCAATGCTGTCGGTTGTTGATCGGGCTCCATGTCACTGTCCTTTGGCAAGAGAGTCCGGTGCGTCTGCACGATTGTCGTGACGTTCCGCAAGCCACCTCGCTGGTATACAAAGTCCTCTGTTAGCCACGTAGCAGCGCATAATCGTAAAAGACCGAGAATAGCCAACGGGAAGAAGACGGCGTCGATACCGAATCCAATAGCGACGCCGGGAAGTGCGGCTCCGGACATGGCACCAACGAGTAAATAGAGTGCCGACACGCCTTGTAGTGTTGTGATAACGGTCTTCATCGTTGTCAATGAGGCTACTTCAACGTGGGTGTGTTCTGGCAAACGTAAGCAGTGCGGAGCACAGGCCGTAACCATCTCTTCCTCGCCATTCCATCCGTTCGAGGTCCAGAATATCGCGTTGGTGGCTGCTAAATCATGACGACTCCACTGGACAGCGCGAATGCGCCGATCGGCTATCGCGGCGTATCTCCAGATTATAGATGTCGGGTTGTAGCTGCACAGCCGATCGTACCACCTAGGGCGTCGATCGGTCAGATACGTTATTGTAGGTGTGCCGGATACGATGTGCTGAAGCATGAGTTCCATCAGTACTTCATCTTCATGCAGGAGCATAGTCCAGGTTGAGCTTACCGCGATCAATGGGGCAAGACACAAAGTGAATAAGGAGACCCACTCGGTAAAACTAACACATTGGCTGTTGTAGCGGATGGGCTCAACCTCGATGTTGAAATACGGCATTGGAGATGATGCGGCCGAGACATTCGCGCAGGAGAATTCGCTAGGGATGACTGAATCTGTTCTTTAGGCCCCCGACGACCGGGAAATTAGGTACGCACGTAAGCACGCACAGTGACCACTACCACCGCGTAATATCGGATGCATGTAAGCGCTGGTTATATGTACCATCCCTCGTGGGACCATGACTTCGCTCTGTTTGACCTCAAACCTTGAATGTATCTCGATATGTACACAAAAGTATAGCCAGAGATGTGCCAAGAAGTTACCCAAGAAGCTTGCGTCCGTAGCGAAGTACCATGTGTCGCCTCAGCAGATAGCTGTCAAGAGAGACGGTGGCAGCGCTCATTCCTGACACCGTATACGTAGCTCAGACATCGGAAGCTGGTGTGATCCATCGCAGCAGTTTGAGATTGCCGTGTTCCTCCGCCATCTTGTAGATGAATGGGTTGCTAGAGATGGCGATGAGGCCAAAATGATGGAACAGTCTTCGTGGCTGTTTTGATGCTGGTTACCTGTCATGTGCGACTGAAACAGAGTACCGGCCTGTTTATATCGTTTTGATCGTAAATCCAGATGGCTCATAGCAAATCCGACAGTCGTGATGGAAATTGAAGTATTAGTGTTGCGATGGGACCACCTGGAATGAGTCGGAGATAACGCTTAGTAATCCCGCACTGGCCCCCAAAGCTGAGATGGTACTCTCGCGTGCCTCGCATCTGAGCTTTGTACACCGATGCGACTCCCAACATGCGGACTCGCATTGTTGAGAAATTTGACAGCATTCTCTTCTCCTTGCATTCCTTTGCATCTGATCCTACTGAGTCTGTGGGGCGTAGGGCCACGTCATAGCACCCTTTTTTTGCCTTTATTACCTAGGTACACGAGCTCAGCGAGCGCGCCCATACCGAATGCACGGTAAATCCCATTCCAAGATTTGTCAAAGCGTTCGATACGGATGAATACGCTCCGCTAGCATCAACTACCGTTACCGGCTCCACGCCCATCAGCCATCGGAGTGCACCCGGGCGTTGGCGCGGTGCGCTGAGTTCTCGAAACCTCTCAGAGTCTTCTCACATGCAATTTGAGTTTGCGTAAGTTTGTGGCGCCTCTCTACTACCGAGGCGTCAGCCTTGCCCGCAAGTAAGGCGCTGAACACCAATATATCAAGCGATGGATTCGCCGAGATCGTGGGGAGACCCATCGCGGATACCCCGCATTTTGTCCACGCGGGGCGAAGTAGTTACCCCTTGAAAGGTAGCATCTCCGTAATCAGAATACAAGCCAACGGTTTATGGCTGGTTCCCGAGCGTGTTAACAACGATGGCGATTCAGTCGACACACCCACCCACAGACCGGGAGAATGCATCCGTTTGCGGTCCGGCAGTCAATGCCACTCTTGGCGTCGATATCCTACCTTGCACGTCCCTCCACTACACAGCTCATAGTCGGTGCACTCAGGTCAGTCGCGTTTTGTCGAAAGCGCAAACAGAGAACGTTCCGAGGACGGCTTGTGTAAAGACTGATGTGGCGCAAAACCATAAACTCTGGATTACTACTCGTCCGCTAGATGCGCCGACACCTCATGACCAGCTGCCTAGACAATACGCGCCGGAAGCTATCCACCAACGATCCAAGCCTATTGTGGCTCTTTCCCCTGGCTGATGCTCTGAAGTGCGAGTTCGGATAGGTCAGCGCACGATGTTCTTCATGCACCGTGTCACCTCACAAGGCTGTCAGACCCCACTTCCATCAAAATGAGAGCGATCTGCAACCCAAAATTCCGGGAGGATGCTATTGAAGCATGGGTGTATCTGCAGCCACGGCGGGCTTTGAGCTTACGTTGAATCTTTCCACATCGCTCTTCGTCCGGACGCAATAGACTTCGACATTGTCCGAGGTTCGTTGTGAAGCGTAGTCTCTGGCTTGTGACATCTATTCCACCGGGCAAGTTAAGTATCGTGCGTTGCACAGCGATGGCAGAAGCATTCACTATAAGCAAGAACTTCATTTGATTCGACAGCCACGAGTCGAACGCACAACTACTCACTATGAAGCTGGCAACCCTTCTTTCGTTGCTTCCATTGGCTCTAGCAGTCCCAGCACCGCTGGAAAAACGAGCAAACCCTACCGTCGTTGCTCCCTCGCCTCAAGCCACGGTTGCTGGCATCAACGTATTGGGTGTTGAGTCTTTCAAAGGCATACCATACGCACAGCCTCCGATCGATCAGTTACGACTAAAGCCACCTCAGCCCATAACTTCCTCCCTGGGAAAGGTCGACGGAACCGGCATTCCAAAAGCATGCCCACAGTTCTTCTTCAGCATAGATGAGAGGAATATTCCCACCAACGTCCTAGGCACTATCCTAAACCTACCACTTCTTCAGACCATCACAAATGCTGGAGAGGACTGCCTTACTATCAACGTACAGCGCCCCGCTGGCACCAAAGCTGGCGACAAACTTCCGGTACTATTCTGGATCTTTGGTGGCGGTTTCGAACTTGGATCTACGGCAATGTACGATGGAACAAGCCTTGTCGCCGAATCAGTCGCTCAAGGCAAGCCCATCGTATTTGTGGCAGTCAACTATCGCGTGGGAGGATTTGGCTTCATGCCCGGGAAAGAGGTACTAGCCGATGGCTCCGCCAATCTAGGGCTACTAGACCAACGATTGGGCTTGGAATGGGTTGCTGACAACATTGCCGCATTCGGAGGAGACCCTGAGAAGGTTACGATCTGGGGGGAGAGTGCAGGTGCCATCTCTGTGTTGGATCAGATGATGCTTTACGATGGCGACAACAACTACAATGGCAAGCCGCTATTCAGAGCTGGCATCATGAACTCGGGCTCGATAGTTCCAGCTGATCCCGTTGACTGCCCCAAAGGTCAAGCTATTTACGACAGAGTATGTGTTCGATCCTGCTCCCTGCCGCATAACACGATGCTAACCTCTCCCAGGTCGTTGAAGCAGCTGGATGTGCCAGCTCTGCCGATACCTTGGCGTGTCTCCGCACAGTGCCATACACCAAGTTCCTCAATGCCGCCAATACCGTCCCGGGTATCTTGGGCTACTTCACGGTCAATCTTTCCTACCTCCCTCGTCCTGATGGGAAGGCCCTCTCAGATTCTCCCGATGCCCTTGTCAAAGCTGGAAAGTACGCCAAAGTACCCTTCATCGTTGGCGACCAAGAAGACGAGGGTACTCTCTTTGGTCTCTTCACTTCGAATTTGACTACAACCAAGGAAGTAACGACCTATCTCTCAACCATCTTCTTCCAGAATGCTTCACCAGCGCAAGTCGAACAGCTAGTAGGCAGCTACCAAACTATCACCGAGGACGGCTCGCCCTTCCGCACCGGCCTGCTCAACAACTTCTACCCGCAATTCAAGCGCGTCTCCGCTATTCTCGGCGACGTCACCTTCACCCTCACACGTCGCCTCTTCTTGGAAGTCACTGGTCAAGTCGCACCCGATGTACCATCCTGGTCCTATCTCGCGACATACGATTTCGGTACACCCATTCTAGGAACGTTCCATGGCTCCGACATCCTGCAAGTCTTCAATGGCATCCTGCCCAACAATGCCGCGAAGACTATTAGAGGCTACTACTACTCATTTGTCTACAACTTGGACCCCAATGAGGGCAACACTTTTATGAACTGGCCGAAGTGGAGTGAAGGCAGGAAGCTGATCAACTTTGGAGCGAACAAGAACAGCTACCTCGATGACGACTTTAGGGGTGATACCCATGAATTCTTGGCCCAAAACGTAGCGAGTTTGAGGGTTTGATCTCGATGATCTACATAGCGCCCGACCTGCATGAATCCTTCAAAGTTGGGCATAGCAGCAAAAAGAAAAATGCACAAAGTTTTACTCAATCGCCCCTTTCGCTCTCATGACCCACCGCTGATGGGTTGTTGTGAGCTGCATGACTCAACTACGTTGCTGTCCCCATTGTTTTTTTCACAGGCCACAAACCGCTAAGTGCGTTTTCAGGCCTTTCGCCAATCTTTCCTTCGCGAATCTTGAACACCCTTTCGTTATGATATCAATCGTTGCCGGCCTAATCTTCTGTCACTGGGCGGCATCGAGCATGCGCATCGCGGAGCTTTCGCCCATAAAGCAGCGCGGACCCGCAGATGTTCGTCTTTACAGCTTCCTCCGTGGCTGCCCAATCATCGAGGATGCTGGCGTGCATCTCACTGAAGAATGACGATCGTGGTCGCATTGATGGGCGGAGATACTACGGGTTTACTATGGAGATTACACGGGCGTTATGTGGATCTGGCTCTGAGAGCCGTGCACACGCGTCACCTTCTCACATCACCGCGTTGAACGGAGCAGCCACGCGTACGAAGATGCCGAGTAGGGTTTACTGACGGCGTAATGCGGTTTTCTTTGCACCGGCTTATCATCCTTATACCAATGGTGTATGTGGATATGAAGTTGATCTCGAAGTTTCTGGGCTTATCGGCACGCAAGCAACGCTTTGACGTACGTGTTGTATTCAGCAAGAACATAGAGCTAGTAGATGTCGCAAACAAAAGCGAGCGTGACTGAGGATCAGGTACCGAGAAGGAAAAGACCGAACCAAACAATTCAGCGAAAGAAATACCGAGGAAAGCTGTTTAGCACATCTCTACCGCATCGTTGGCGATAGCTACCAGTCACACGTAACGACGGCATGGTGGTCTCTGTTTATGAGCGGTCCAAGCGAACAGCTCTCAGCTTCACTCTTCCATCTCACCTCCTCCTCTTTGCACTTGATCTCTAGGTCCTTAGGCAAAGGGCCTTCGGAGTCCTCCGGAGATGGCGCATCCCAATCTTGACACCAAAGAGATCCAGGATTGGTTCCATCGTTGAGATAGTCGCATTCGACGCCGTCGATGAGGTCGTTCATCTCGTACGTACTTCCAGGCCAGGGAGGGTTCTTGACCATATCGTAATCGTCTCCTGCTGGTTCGCTTCTCGTAGCTTGCTTTTCATCGCGACATACAGAAGACTTGCCGTAATCGCTTTCGAAGAACAACCAGGAGTTGTCGGTCCAGACCCCATCAAAATACCTTTGGAAGATGATTGAAAGTGCTTTGTTCTTGCGAGATGGTTTGGACGGAGGTGGAGAGCTCGATGGAGGTGGATCAGAGTCGTTCGGGCTTTCGTCGTCGTCGTCGTCGTCGTCGTGCCCATGGGCGGCCTCGTCTGCCCCGTTCCAGATTACACGGATACCGCTGCCAGAAGCCCGTTCCCAACTCGATTTGTCACTGGTCACATAGTCTCGGATAGCTTTGACGCGCTCCACACCAGTCTTAGTATCGTCCCAAGGCTTATTTGAATAGGACAAGTATGTGGCTATGAGACCTGCTACCTGAGGTGCAGCTACATCGAAGTCACCTGTCAGTTCCAAGTGCGAACCTGCAGAGGAGGTCTACTCACCTAGAGAGGTGCCACTTGCAGTTGCCTTTATCTTGTCCTCCTTGTTCTGGCATTCGATGTCGACGCCCGGCGCATAGATCGTGACGAGTGGACCACCTTGTGAGAAAGCGGCTCGCTTGCCCTCCCAGTCTGAAGCTCCGACGATGATCAGTGGAATATCGTCATCTTGGAGAACCATTGGAATCTGATCAACATCTCCACGATTCGGTTTCTCGGCATCGTTACCTGCGGCCATCACAAAAGGTACACCAAGTTTGGAAAGCTCGCGCAGATCGTTTCCGTAGAGTAGCTGCATCCTCTCGTCATTCTTAGCTGCCTCGGGTGTGATTCCGCCTTGGCCGATGGCCAAAGACGTGATCACGACACTTCGAGAAGCTCGTCCTTCGTGGGCTTTGATGTCTCTCAGGATCAGCCACATGCCGTTTTCCCAGTCGCCGGTCTTTGGGTAGAGCTTTGTTGAAACCAAGGACGCCTATAAGAGTTCGCGCGATGTCAGCCGACTGTTTCGCATGTATGATCGACAGCAGATCGATGAGTCCTGCGACAAAGAAGCCCAAGACCCAACCTTGGAATACCAAGTGAATATGACCAAGCCATACTTTGGCGAAAACATACCTCTTTCGCGAGTCCATATTTTTTGCCCACAGCTTTCGAGGCGACTCGAGTCCCGTGTGATGGCTTTTCAACATTGTCATCTGTTTCTGGACTTTGACCCGCTGCAATAGATGAGCTGGACTGGAGAACGCGGTCGTTGTCGGTCTTGAATTCTCGTTCTTCATCCTTCTGCAACGAAACAGTTAGCGATGTAAAGCAGTTGGACTCAAACTTACGTTGATAACCTTGATCTGAATGCCCAAGTCGATCAAATAGACGAATACATCCTCGCCTGGATGCTCGGGGTACACAAAATCGACATGTGTACTTATGTCCATGCCTCTAGTTGGTACACAATTAGCTAGCTGACAGATCATGTGGTGATATATCATACGTACTCATATTGACTGTCCACCACGAGGGCTTCGTCTGCGGTATCCTGGATTATCCACTTCAAATCTCTCGGCACAAGCTTTTCTCTTCGCTCGACGACTTCGGGTCCTTCGCGCATTACGGAAGACGAAAAATCGGATGGTAAAGCCCGTAGAGATCGTATGGGAAGGTCCTCCAACATACCGAATGTATCTTCGTGATTCTCCACCTCAAGTCTTGCCTCTTCAGTCAGGGTCACATTCCCGTATCCAAGTATCTTGTCATCAGGTCCAATCTGATATATCCAGCCACCATCCGCCACCTTGGATTTCAAGAAGTCATGGTACTGCTTGATGTCCACACCGGCTTTTGCCAGAGCTATCCAGTCCTTGACGTCTCGACGGGAGATATGTTGTTCTTGCGCATTCCGTGGAGCTTCGTGGGTAGTACTCTCGCCTACGTTCTCATCAACGGCTGTGCTATTGTGATCTTGCGGCTCATGTCGCGGTAAGTGGTCGCTAGCCAGTGCGGGAGTTGCGGAGGTGGAGGTTCGTTGCTCGACGGGAGGGATGTCTTCCCTTCGCTCAAACCCAGCATTATTCTGAGTGTCTCTAGTCGTGGTATCAGCTAGATACGAAGGAACAAATGCTTGCGCGGTGCAGAGCAGAAGGAAGATATAAAGAATGCGCATTGTGGTCACGCGACAAATGATTTGGAAAAGTAAAAGAAAAGGTAGAATGTGATGTCGAATTTATGGATGAGTGGTATAAGAGATGGTGTAAGTAATGGCGATGTAGTTTGGCCATACTGGCGATGTCAAGTTTCTTTATACTCAATGTCAGAACGGACCTTCAGCCCCAGCGACTTGGGTTTTGGGTCCAAATTCGCGTAATGATGCAACCAGCGCCCTCATGCCGTTGAGCGGCGTGAGTTCACCAGGGCCTACTGTCTTGAACCGAAACGCCTGTCGTGCAACTATTCAGATCTGAAATGCCATGGAGTTAACATCCGGCGTGATTATCAACCATGCAAGGTTCCATTGGAGTGCGGGTATACCATTGCGGAGACCATCAACTGTGCCAGTTCCGGGGCAGGCACACATATCCATGGAGCTGTTTGATCGGCCTGTAGATGCTTCGATAATCGGGGCGGAAAGTGACGGCACCGTAATGTTTGACACAGCAGGCAGTAGTTCATAGAAGGGGCCAGATCTCTACACGAGGCCATGATGTCGTCGGCGAGGTGATGCAGCATGAGTGGAGTTTAGTGGTAGTACAGCGGCCCCAGCATCCTGATGAGTGACGGAGAGGCATAGTCAAAGGAAGCACTATGAAACATGAGATAAACAGAGTTGGGGCGCACGTCTACGTACTTGTTGGGGGGATTCGCCATGATGGGGCAGCATGTGGGAAGAATGACGTCGCGTAATGAGGCGACACGAGAGATGCTGCTTTACGGCGGGTCGCTAACAAACTCAAAGTCGATTCGTTGTGATGAGGATGTTGGTAAGACGGGAGCGCGGGGCCAAAGGTGACGAAGGTCGGCTGATGACGGATGACGTATGTTAGAGAGCTGTGCCACAAGATATTGCAGGTACGCGCTTTCGGCTGCTAATCAGATGCTTTAATTAGATAAAACAGAACTGCGGGCGCAAGCGCCACCAGCATATAATAGTAGGCTAGATGTAATCGTAACACAGTGTTGGTGTTTGTTTAAGTAGAGGCTAACCTCGCATCAAATAATAGCGCAGGCGATAGTGGATGGAAACGAAACAGAGGTTAAGAATGCCGTCGCTAGTAAGCGCGGGCGTGCATTAAGAGAGTAGACTACTAGATAGATCTTATATGTATTGTCGCAACAGGTGTTTAAGCACCTATTAGGTTAATTACGTGCTTTCTCTCTTTTATACTAGTGTTTTACGCGCTTGCCTGTATATATTACGCTACTCTTATCTAATTTTATAAAAGTAGTAATTATAATTCTAATTACCTAAATCTATTATTTCTAGCTTAATTTCTTTTATAGTTATAAGCCTAGCGCTTTAAAGTATAGGTTTTATTTTTCTTGCGCAATAATAACGCTGCAAATAATATATTTAGACGCTTCTCTAATCTTTATTTAACCTCTCTTCTTATAATAAGTAAGGTAACTAGCTATTACTAGCTTTTTACGTATTAACTATATACGCCTACTATAGTGCCTCTATATTAACTGCCTACGTCTATAGCAGCGCTTTTCTCTAATAACTCTAAGTACGTTAGTAATACGCGCGCTACTTGCTACCTTCTTTATAAGTAGCTATAAGTAACTATAGCTCTTTAGTAAGCTTAACACTTATTCTAATAAGCAGCGTAATTTTTAAGAGACGCTCTACTTAGCCTAAGTAGTTTACGTAACTTAAATTTAACGCGCGCTTTCTAGAAGTATAGAAGAAGATTAACCTAGTAATACTCTCTCTTAGAAATAGCCTTTTTAAAGCTTCTAATTATTCTATCTACCTAGAAGAGAAAACTAGTAAGCGTAATAAGAAAGCGCTCTAGAATAAGAAACTAGCAGTATAGAAGCTTAAATCTACTCTTCTAGCAAGTACCTAAAGTAGGCTTAGAAAGCTTAAGAAGTAGGTTAACGCAACTATTAACTTACTTCTACTACTTCTAGTGTAGATTAAGCTAGCTAAGAGCTAAGACTAGTCTCTTTATATAATTATAAAGTTTCTTAAGACGTAACTATAGCTTTATAATAATTTAACTAAGAAGTAGATTAGAGAGAACTACTATACTTACTTAGGTAAGGCTAAGTTAGTAAAGACTAACCTAGAGTAGTAGTACTATAAGTAGAACGCGCTCTATATACGCGCAAAGGCATATAAGCTTTCTAAAGTAGATAGTACGCTTACTATCTATAACTTTCTTAATGCGCTAATACCTAGAATAGTAATAGACTAGGTAATTTAGATAAAGCGTAATATAATTACTACTTAGGCGCTTAGTATAAAGATCTTTACACTTTCTTAGCTTAGAATTTCTTTTTTAGCGCTTATTTAGTATTAGGTAGCTTACTCTAAGTTATATAGAATTTTTACCTCTATTAGAGAAGCTCTATCTACTAATAAGGCTAGCGCTAAGTCTAAGTTACTAAACTAGGCTAAGCCTACTACTTACTCTTGCGCTACTCTAAAGTCTTAGACCTACTACTAGCTTGTTAAAAAGTACTATAACGTACTTACTACTATTAGAGCTAAGTAAAAGCGCTTTTAATAGCTCTTATAAGAGAATAAAAACGTAATTATTAAATACTTAGGTATAAAGCACTTTAAGAAGGCGCATATAAAGCTTATTAGTAAGAGATACTCTATTCTAAGCTTCTTAGAAAGCTTGTATAATAATAAAAGGCACTCTATAAGCGTAGTTACTACGCTTCTTAACCTAGGCATGCTTTAGCTAACGCTAGGTGTCTACTCTACTATAAACTATAACGCTTACTCTCTCTTAGCTAGCACTATTCTTAATAATAGAGTAGCAATCTACTTAGTTAACTACTTCTTTCTATTATTAGACTTTAAACTAGCTAAAAGCCTTAAGATAGTTAAGGTAGGTATATAGACTTTTTCTATTCTTAGTTATAGTACGTGCGTTCTAAAGAGCTTTATTAAGCTTATAAGTAGTAAACGCGTTAATCTTATACTTACTAGCGTTATAGTTATAGAGTGCTTCTATATTAATATAGTCTTAGAAGCTTGCCTTAATTAATCTAGAATCTAGTACCTAGGTCTTAATAACACTCTTTGTACTAGCTTACTAGTAAGAAGTACTATAGTAGCTACTTTATAGCGCAAGCTAAACCTTACGTTTATAGAATATAAGCCTATTACTATTTATAACGCTCTTATTATAAACGTAATATCTAGAACTAGATCTAGCTTTATCTCTTAGCTGCGCAGTAACTTAGAAGACCTTTAGTATACTTACGCTAGGCACTTAGGCTCTAAGACGCTTAAAGCTCTTATACTTAATGCTTAGAAAGTAAGAATTAAAAAGCCTACGCGTGTATAGTATAAGTTCTACGCTCTAACCTATATAAAGTAAGTTATCTCTTATTAGCTAAAGAAGCAAGCTCTCTAACTCTTCTAGAGAATTACGTAGAACCTTTTTAATATACCTAAAAGGCGCTTAGAAAAGAAGTAGACTCTACTTATTAAGAATAAGTATAGTAGTAAAGTTTACCTTTACCTACTTTTTTCTAAGAAAATAGAGAAGATAATAAGAGCTCTTAAAGAGTTTTAAGCGCTTATCTAGACCTATTATTATCTACTTATTATAAGAATTAGCTCTAATAATAACTCTTTAACTAATCTATAGCGTAGTAACTTACGCTATAAGGTATAGGTAAGAGAGTATAGTATTACGCTAGAGCCTACTTCTCTATATACTTATAAGCCTAATAAAGTAGCTAAAAGAGCTAGATAAGAAATTATTACTAAATAAATTAAGATAAGAGAGAGAGCTAATCTACCTAAGCACCTCTAGATAGAGGTAGCGCTTACTACTACTTAGCTCTATAATATAAGCCCCTTATACGCCTATACTCTACGCTCTTCTAATAAGAAGTTAGAGTAGTAGTTTATAGAATACTTTAGATAGTACTAGCCTAAGCTTATAAGAAGAGCTTCTACTAATCTATAACCTAATTAGAGTAGCGTATACGCCTATAGGTGTTGTGCCTATCTCTTAAATAAGAATAGAGTAGCTAGGTATAAGCTAAAGAGCTTTAAAACACTACCTAAAGAATATATTAGTTATTTAGTAGGCTATTAAGCTTCTAATATATACTATATATAGGTTCTATTACTAAGAGAAGTGTTTACTACGCGTAACGTAACGTTTAATAAGTAGCTCTTCTATAGTAGTAGAGAGTAGAAGCCTTCTAAGAAGAATACTTATATTATAGTTAATATTCTCTATAAGAATAAGTAGAAGAACGTAGCAGAGGCTTATAATAAGCTTCTATTACTCTCTTAGTAAGGTAACGTAGATAATAGTAAGCTACTACCTAACTAAATAGACAAGCTACTTAATAGCCTATTAGAAGCTTATCTAGAAGAGTTAGGTCTTACATAAGTAGATCTCTAGGCTAGAGAGATATAGAGAGTATATATAAGGCTTACTAAACGCGCTATAGAACTACTATTACTAGAAGCTATACTAGAGCCTTCTAACATAATAAGTATTACTAAGTAGCTTAGTAATAGACGCGTTAATTCTAGTAAGTACTAGTCTATAGTAACTAGATTAGTAAGCTTATTAGATGCGTAGAGAGATAACTTCTAAAGTAATAGACTTCTATTACCTATAGCAACAAACGTTTCTTAGAATAAAAGAGTACCTAATAGCTCTCTACCTAATCTATAAAATCTATCTACTAAGCGTAAGTACGTAAAAAAGGTCTATAGACCTTCTACACGTAGAAGTAAGCGTTACTTAGATAGTTATAATAATTATAATAATTATAATAATCTTAGAGGTATAGACATTTACGCCTTACTATTTAACTCTAAGAAGCTTAATAACTTAAAAACTTACTATAGCGCTTCTAAATAGTTATTAGGCTACGCGTACGCAATACTATATTATATTATTACTACTATAATTATAGATAAGTCTAACAAAGGCTAAGTCTATTAGAATAACCTTCTAGCGCTTCTAACGCTTTAGAAGTACCTCTATAACTATCTCTATAAGAATAAGTTTAAGGCAGTAGTACGTTAGAAGATTAATATACTACTTGTAGCTAATATCTAGAAGAAAGTAGAGTATATAAGTAGTAAAGAACGCTCTCTACTACTTAAGTAGGTCTTTACGTATAAAGTAGATAAGAATAGCTACTTTATAAAGTATAAGGCACGCCTTATAGTGCGCAGAGATATATAGGCTAAGAATACGCTCTACTTAATCTATACTACTACGCTTACTACGTAATCTTTCTACCTAGTAATAGCTATTACTACTAAATTTAATATAGAGATCTAGTAGCTTAATGTTATAGCAGCCTTCTTAAACGCTAAGGTTAGTAGTAATAGACTAGTATACTATAAGCTTCTAGATAGCTTTTAGAGAAAGAGCTACTACGCTAAGCTTAAGAAAGCTCTTTATAGCATACGTAAGAGCTCTTTTCTTTAGTATAATAACTTCTTAAATACTTTTTTAAAGCTTAGCCTATAAGCTAGTAAGAAGAAGCTTTATTTATACTATAACGCTACTTAACGCGTTTTTATACTCTTCTACGTAGATAATATTCTACTTATATTTACTAAGTTACACTACCTAGAGGTAACTAAGCTACTTAGTAGAATTAAGAAGACCTATAAGATTAATAATAGAGGAGTAGTAAACTAGTTCTTAGAGGTATATATTATACATAATTACTTTATAGGCACTATTTTACTACTCTATAATATCTATCTTAATAAGATTATAAAGAAGTTTAGTCTTAAAGATAGTAGCTACTTTCTAGAGACACCTCTGCTAGCTAGCAAGCTTCTAAAGTACTAAGAGAACGCTTTAAAGTAGAAGATTAAGGCCTATTAAGAGCGTGTTAGCTTAGTATTATACTCTACTATTATAATACGCTCTAACGTTACGTATATAGTTTTCTAGCTCTCTTAGTTTCTAACTAATTCTTCTTTAGCTTATCTTAAGGTAGTAGAGTATCTTATTATATACTTATACTACTTGTAATATAAAAGTATTATGTATAGTAGAGAGGTAAGATTAGATAAGAAGCTCTAGATCTATAGAGACGCAAGCTTTACAAATAATACTAAAACGCGCTACTTCTTTTATAGGTTTATTATAACGCTATTTAGAGGCCTAATTATATAGTAAGCTACTTACTAGTTAATAGTTATAACCTTAACTACTAAGGCAGAGCTTCTTACTCTTAAGGCTATTACTAAGAAGACTATAGCCTTAAAGCGCTTATTTGCTAAGCTTTAGCTACTTATTACTAGTGCCTAGTAGATCTTCTATAATAATTAATAGACTATTAGGCTTATAGTAGAAAGTAGTAAAAGAATCTCTACTAAGCTCTACTATATTAATATCTAGAATATATAGCTTTGCTAGAAGTATAGTAAGAGCTCTTTTAAAGTGCTCTATAAGCTTACTATTAATATATTAGTAGATAGACTTACTAAGTACTTATCTAAGTAGAAGTTTAAGGCCTTTAAGAAGCAGCTAAATCTTAGATAGGTAGCTTATAAGAATACTAATTAAGGCTTATAAATAAGTAATAAGTATAAGAAAGGTTAGTAAGTCTAATTATATATTTATAAAGTAGTACTAGACTCTACTCTAGACGCTCTATAACTAGATAAAGAGATCTTACCTTCTCTCTAGACGCTTACTACCTCTCTATATAGCTAGCGTAAAGAAGCTTCTATTAAGCTACTATATACTCTAACTACTTAGCCTTACTAGTTAAAACTAGAGGTATAGGCAGAGAAAATACTTACTTAGAGCTCTTAACTTTACTAGAGGCTATTAAAGCTATATTATCTACCTTAGCCTTAGCCTCTATATAACTATAAGCTACTTTACGCTGCTTAGTCTATATTAGTAGAGCGCTAATCTTATAGACTCTCTCTTTATTTAAGAAGAACTTAATAGCTACGCGTAGCCTATTCTATTTCTACTTACTTCTAAACTAAAAGAAGTAGATAAACTTAAGAGCTATTAGCTTTATAATCTTAGGCCTATAAATAGTTAGTATAAGTAAATAGTAGTCTAGAAGCTTAAAGACTTATATAGAGTTATATAAGTACTTATAACTATACTACTTATACTAGACATTTTTCTTACCTACCTAGTTAAAGTAAAGTCTTTTACTATAACTAGCGAGTACGCTTTAGACGCACCTAACGCAGAGTATTACTCTTAGTAGACGTAATAGAGAAAGAGTACTAATAGAGGGCTTAGGCTACTTCTTCTTCTTCTCTTATTCTTTACGCACTACTATGCTTAAGGCTTACTTCTTCTTATTTTAAGAAGTAAAGACCTCTCTAGTAGTAGTAGTAGTAGCAGCGTTGTAGTAAGCGTAGGTAGCTTAGCTAGTAGCTATAGCTACTAGACACTATTAAACTTATTTTTGCTACTTATTAGCTAAAGAATCTATATAAATAGCTATAGTAAGCGCTTACTAATAAGTTAGGTAGCTTATAGACTAATAAGCTGTTAGCTTATAGTTAGACTACTTACTAGAAGTAGTAACTAGTACTATAAGTATCTAAAGTACCTTAGAGATAATCTTATAAGCTACTAGAGCTTTATATAGCAACTAATAGGCGCTTTAGAGTAAGATAGAAGCTTCTAGAGAGTACTTATAGTTAGTATTTTAGTAATTATTAAAGCTAAAAATATTAGTAGGTGCTAGCCTTATTATTATTGCGCGCGCTTAGGCGCGTATAGCTCTACTTAATTACGTAATACTTACGTAAGTAGCGCGCAGCTAAAAATAGGTAACCTACGCGTAATGTAGCTTACCTAGAGAGTATATTATAATAGGTATTTAAGTACTTGTTAGGTTAATTACGTACTTTCTCTCTTTTATACTAGTGTTTTACGCGCTTGCCTATATATATTACACTACTCTTGTCTAATCTTATAAGAGTAGTAATTATAATTCTAATTACCTAAATCTATTGTTTCTAGCTTAATTTTCTCTACATGTATTATAAGTGCTAAAAAGCTAGACTCGCATGTAAGGTAAGCCCGAGGACTCTAGAGTAACTACGTAACAGAACGACACTACGCTTTATACACTAGAGTTATCTTGTAGGATACCAACAGACCCGCTATAAGCCTTCCAGCTATCACACTAGCTCTCCAATGCATCCTTGTTAGTTATTCCAGCAATCTCATTGTACTGCTCAACAAACTGCATAGCGAAGCCCTCGGATATGTGCCAGCCCTGTATAGATGTTAGTAAAATAATACAAGTGCAAATAAAGAGGGCTACGTACGATGTAGCAGTGCATCAGCCAGGCGCCTAGGTTATCAGTCTCAAAAGCGATAACAAGGTAGCCCAATGCTAGAAGCATCGCGGTGTCGCGGCGCGGCGGGTTGTCAAGCTTAAGAGCAACGTTATCGGTGTACTCTCCTGTACCCTAAGCGATAACGAAGAAGTCATAGCCGTGCAAATGGATGGGATAGGGTACTCCGATGTTGGTGCTGATGACTACGTAGACGAATTCGTTCTCGCGCGGTAGGTGGAAGACGGCGTTGGAGGCCTCGAACGTCTGTTCTTTGCGCATAACTTGCATGAGCGTGGGATCGTCCCAGTACACGACCATGGATGTGCTGTTCAGAGCCCATTTGAACACGTTCTCGTCGTTGCGGCCGACAGATACAGGCTCATCGGCTGTGGACGACGTTGCTCCGACGGTCTTTGGGATGTGCGGCACAAGGTTCTCGGTCTCGTCGGAGCAGCTGTCTTCGTAGTCGTATGCGGAAGTGGTCGGCGTTCCAGCTGAGCCACCATAGTAGACTATGCCGCGGATGTCGTCCTCGTTGTCGTTCTCGGAGCATGCGGACTGAGGGATGGCTCGCATCCAGAAGTTGTCAGCCACGTCTCCCTGATCAGCTGTTACAATGACGTCGTATCGTTGACCCATACCGATGCTGACAATGGTAGCTTCATAAGGTTCGATAGGTACAAGATCGGATGCAATGACAGTCATGGTGTGGTTGTCGATCATGAACTTCCAATGGGTATCGACAGCGGCGTTGACGAGGCGAATGCGGTAAGAAGTGCCGGCGGTGAAGGAAACATTGTAGCGATGACCGCCGTCTCCGAAAGTGTTGGTGCCGTTGATCAGACCGTTGTCGAGAACTGGCGGACCATCCATCTCGGCGGAGAGGTAGAGCTCATCAACCGTCTGGTGGTCCCAGTCGTTGAGGAAGAGCATACCCAAGTCCTCGTCGTAGTTTGACGTGGCAGGTCCATTGATGACAATACCGCCAAAGACGCCCTGCCAAGCCTGCAGGGCGAAATGCGAGTGATACCAAGTCGACCCGTGCTGGGTAGCTCTCCAGGTGTAAGTCATTGACTCGCCTGGTGCTGTTGGACATTGGGTAATGGAGCTCACACCGTCCTGGTCGTTGGTGTTCTTCTGCCAAAGACCGTGAAAGTGTATGCTGGTGCCGTTCATGGATGTTGTAAGAGAGTTGGTGACATGAACAACGACCATGTCGCCCCAGTCCGCGATGAGCGTCGGTCCCGGTATCGAGCCATTGATGGCCATCGCTGTCCGAGATACGCCGTCAGGTGCTACAACAACATCGGTGAGCTCTAGCCAGTACTCGCGGGTCACGCCAGTGTCTGGGATCTCGACGGACGCGTCGGTGTCGATGGAGTGATCGCACCACTCCGAGCGTGTGGAAGCAGTGTTGCCATCGCATGCTCTTCTCGGCACTGGAAATGGTTTAGCTAACGTTGCCTCTACATGAGAATGAGGTGCAACTTACTCAAGTTCGTAACGAAAGGCGAAGAGGCCGCAAAGCCAGTCAAGGCTGCAAGACCGAAAGCGCCTCGGAACAACATGATGTAGATACCTGAAAGGTACTTGGTACTCAATGAAGATGATATGTAGAGACAACGAGCAATGACCGTGTAACGAGTGGAAGTGAGTCTAAAGTGAGTGACAAGATACGAAAGACTCTAGAAAGAAGCTCCCAATGAGTGATCTGAGCTCAGTCAAACGAATGTAAAGACAAGCTGATGTTTTTCCACAACAACAAGTCTTCGCTTCCTTTATATCGCCCTTGTATCCTACCTTCATAGCCTGTCTTATCCGAGGAATCTATTAGGGGCACAACCTGTGCAGTCTCCAACGACTCAAGGACGTCATGATAATCGAAACTTTCGCTCGTACTCTTCTTTCGTTCTCCTCCGTAGATAGTCTCATTGTTTATCGTGGGTCAGATCTACCCTGATCCCTACTCCAAACTCCAGACGCCCCTTAGGGCATCACTTGGCGTAGGTACGTCGGCTGCTCGGTGATCTGCTAGCGGTATTGTGCATCTAAAAACGGCCGTGGGGTTACTGAGTAGGATGCGCAAAGTTTACCAGCGCATCAGGTGAGCCCCCACTCGATCGGTGCCATTCCGCCGCATCTGCCCATGGCATTATCGATTGTTGGGAAATCTTCGCGCATGGTCGGAGTTTGCTGACTCGGAATCGGAGGACGGAAGCGCCGCGGAAGGGCCGTCCATGATGACAGGTCGGCGCGCCGTTGTTGCTGGGTTGTGCCAGGTACTCAGTGGAGCGAGGTACATGAAGTCGAATAGACAAACTCTTCGTATATCCACTGAAAAACGGGTAGAATCTGCGTTTGAACGGTTCGATCGGTACCTAGAGAGATACGCGACAGTGGAGACGACAAGCATTGTCTAGCTTGAGCTTGGCAGTGCCAAAAATAAGACCCGCTCCGACTCGCACTACGTATCGCATCTGTGCTTTGAGTGGCTGAGGTTACGCGACGCCTGAGCATTGAAACAAGTGAAGTCAGGCAGCATGCAACCCTCGATAGCGCAGTTCGCATTGTACGAGAGCGGGTCCTTGTAGTCCTTCGGAGACCCCCCAATGTAGTATACCAAGAGATATGGTTTTCACTCGAGGCGTCATGAATATACGTGGAGACGTCGTAATGCATCTGAGTCGCTCAGGGGACTGTAGAGATAGAGACTGACTCGGCCGATGTATCGAGTGTAATAAGGACATTGGGACTGCTGATTGTTAGCTGTTGCCACCACTCTTCACACTCTTGCTGCATTCCTGACGCTCTTTAAAATATTCTTCAACGTACACTCCTTCATCATGCATATCGCCATGCGCAGCGCACTGCTGGCTCTGCTCCCGCTCGCGGTGTTGGGCGCCCGCAAGCGTGATGTCGCTTCTACGCCTTTCCAGCTGTATGCATACAGTGAAGACATTGGTGGCTTGCCACTCTTCTATGCCGATGGTCTTGCATACCTCGGAGAGCCTGCTCTTTCCAACAGTACCGATGCTGCTGTCGTAACCTGTAAGTTCGGCTTCTTCGAGCCATCGCGTACCCAAGTTCATCCCAACTAACAGACACAGTCACAATCGATGCCAACAAACACTTCATTGGAAACCCCAACGCTACCACGGCTATCAGTGAACCCACCTGGTCGAACACAGCTCTCTTCATTCCTTCGTCATCATCGGTCGACAGGCGCGTGGGCTTTCTCCCACCCAACAACGGCACTGGCAACACCACGACACAAACATCGGGTTTCGCTTTCTACGGTTCCACGGTGATGTTGTATGGTGAAGATGGTACGGTTGCCACGTCATTCTACGGCATGAAAGCTGAGAACGGCCTGTATGAGTTGCATTGGAATGACACGGAAGGCAAGGTGCCTTTGACACTTCGGAGCATGGCGCCTAGCAGTGAAGCGTCGAAGCGACGCTGAAGAGATGTTGTTGCGACCTGGAAGGCTCTCGCAGAGTTGTCGTTCCAAGAGGCGTTAGGCAGGAAAGCTATGGGTAGTAGTAATTCTATATCAGCGGACTACAAATGTGATCGGTCATACACCAGTCTGCAACTCCAGGGCTGATACTTTACATCGTCATTCTGCTTCGTTCCACTCGCAAGTTGCCAACAACCAAGTTCTCATCAAGTTCTGCTAGCGGCTTAATGCTCACAGAAGCTGTAAGTCGCCCCCTGCAATTCTTCCTCTGCTGTCCGAACAAATGCGCCCCTTTCCTGCATAAGCTTTTTGCGGTGCTCGCTTGCCTCTTGGAAACCCATAGGAAGGGAGTATTTGGCTTCATCGAAATACTCGCGCACGTAGTCCATGAGCTCTTCGGGCAGTCGACCTTCAGAAGTGGCAGAAAGACTTGCAAGTCCCTTCTCGGCTAGCAGGTTGATAAGGTCGGGAGGAAGTTTCGACAGCGCTTCTTGACGCGACTTGGTGTTTGATCCTAGGAGCGCGTCGACGTACCAGTCCATCTGTTGAGGCGGAACATTCGCCGTGGAGATGATGCGCTTTGTAGGATCGACGAGCCAAAGTGCAATGAAGCGACGATGCCCGGGCTTTGTAGGGTCGATAAGACTAAAGGGAGAAACACGATGTTGACTGACACAGGTTAGCCAAAGGTCGTGTGCAAACAGAACTTTGACCGACTCACAAGATATTGGGGAAGGCAAGGAGCCGGCCTTCGCGTGTTTGTACGCTTCCATAGTTCTGCAGACATGGCGATCCATTCCCAACTCCAAAATTGGCGCCATATACTTGCTCCATCCAGTTATAGGCGTCCTGTCCAACATTGTAGGGTTCGTCATCCTGCAGGTAAGCGGACGTCTGCATGCGAAACGAGAGGCTGTTGTCAGTGATGTTCTCGCTGTCCAGGTAATACAGGGCAGTTGCGCAGATGCTTTCGTTCATTTGTCCCTCAATATGCCACCCGCCCAGAGGGAAGTCCGGCTTCTCGGGCGTAAGTTCAATCGAGGCCATCTTGACAATGATCTGAAGTCCCGAATCGCGGAACTTATCAGCAAGACGCTTGCCTGGTTGCGGCGCGTAGGATACGTCATCAGCGCGAATTGGCATCATGCGAGGTTTGCGAACGGTCCTCCACTTGGCCTTCAGCAACATTTCTTGGCGATCCTCATCGTTGTCGTAGTAGTCATCGTAGTACCCTCCTTCCTCCAGGTCTTCTTCGCTGGCTTCTACGTCAGCACACTCTTCCTTATTGGGCGTCCAATTCTCTTCGTTCTCGTCACTACGCAACGAAACGTTAGCAGCGGCAAAGTTCTAAGACATTGCTTTGACTTACTCAGCATTCCCAGGTTTACCGCTGCGAGTCTCCATACGGCCGGCCCCTTCGTACTCATAGTAGCCGACTGCAAACCTCAAACACTGATCCCACATGGGTATGGATGTCTCGACCAGCTTTTCGATAGTGCGGTATATCTCGGGATATCTTGTAGGGTGAAGATTGTTAATGTAGCTCGTAAATTTTACAGACCCATCCTCTTGGAAGGCCACGTTGGCTGGCAGCCATTGGTACTGATTGGACCAGTACTCCGGCGGGATGTTACTGCCTCCAACGCCGTAAGAAGGCCGGTTCTGCGCTGTAGTCTCTTCGGGCCCCTGCTGGGCGATGACCTCGCCTTTACCAGACCAGCGCTTCACGGCGTCCGCCACACCGACCTGCTCCTCACGGAAGCCGGTGCTGCGCCCATATACCAATGGGTACATAGATGGATGTACCAGATCCTGCACCATATCGTTCGAGTTGGGGTGCCAATCGGGAGATGTAGCGTGGTCCGACTGAAGCTTGTCAAAAGCCTTGCGGAGATTGGTGTGTAGCTCGCTGGTAACGAGCGTGTCAGACTTGGCTACGGAAGCGCATGCGTCGAGAGAAGGTATGATGCCCGATTGTTCGAAATACTTGGCTTTGCTACGAAGCTCTTGAACACACTGCGGAATTTTAGTAATGGAGACGATTTGGAAGCAAGAATAACTTACCGTGTCGAACGTAGCTTCGTCCAAAATGTTCTCAAGTGGACAAGAACCCCGGCCGTTGTGAAGCTCGAGCCGGTCCTCGTCGTCGGTCCAATACTGTCTCATCCCAGCGGTAGCAAGGTGCCAAAAGCGTCCATCAGGAATGGCGAGGGCCTCTTTACGCCACTTGGCAACGATCTCATCATCAAAGATCTTCTTGTGCCAGTCGGGCTTGTCGGTGAGCTTTTCCAAAACATCCATCACGGCAAGCTCTCGCACAGGGATGATATCTGACTCGCTTCCATAGGCATTGGGGTGGGACCCGATCGGATAGAAGCCGTAGTTGGTCTGTTCCCAATGGCGAAGAGGTAGTCCTAGTCCAGGATATCCGTTCATGACTTTGCCAGAAGTCTCAGTCATTGTTGTGTTTGAACGAGTGGAGAGTCGTGAATTGATGAGCTTTGTATTGGGTGCGCGCCGTAAAGGAGCGTTTATCCTCATTGCTTTATACGAATGAAGGTCGATAACCATATCGCAAGACGGCTAAGTTTTTAATGCGCTAGCGCAGGCAACTTCATGCTGCCTGAGCTGTTATAGAGCGAAATGGGTCTTTGGCGTATTGGAGGCCTAGCCTTTACCCGTCGAGGATGCGCCACCGACACGAACGGAACTACACGGGAGGGGATACGCGTCTCGTGGCATTGATGCGTTGCGACGATGATGTTCGCTTGAAAAGCATGGCATCAGTGCAGACATGTCGTCTAGCTTTGGGCGTAGGATGAAATGTGAAGCTGGAGTCTGCGCATCAATCGTGGAGAGTTCGCGGCACTGTCGCGTCACGCGTTCCCAGATCTGTGCGTTAGTGGCCCCGGCGTGTGCGCTAGATGTCTTGGCACCGCCGCAAAATGCTGTTGCCGCAAGGCGTACAGGACACCTACATTTGGCAGCATCGGCCTCCTACGATTCTTCATACCCATGATCTTAGAAACATAGAAACGTGCTTGAATATACCTGGTTAGACCTCGACACACTACTGTGCCGAAAGAATGGATCGTGCATACAATAAAAGCTAGTTTGTATACATGTGTGCACCGTTGTAATTATCTCTATAGAGGGCACCACCACTACGACCAAGTACATCGGCATAGTATGCATCGAGGACCAGCTTACTTATTCGTGCTTAGTGTACACCTTCACATACTTCACATGCTCAATACCCTCAGCATCCTCATAGCGTTCACTGACGATTTTGTACCCTCCAAGCTTCGGCCAAATCTTTGTCCAGCAAAGCCAATAGAATCCACCCAGAAGCAGAACGCTGACACCAACAACGGGGAATACGTAGTATGGGTACCCGTCTGCGTTCCAGTCGCCATCCGGAGGAATGAAGGGGACCAGTGCGAGGAAGATGTTTGCAGCCAGGTAAAGAACGGCAATGGGAAGATAGGTGTGCCATGGCGACTCCCAGCGCTCACGCTTTGAGTAGTGTAGGTAGATGAGACCGGCGGTGACGAAGCCGTTGATCCAAGCGCCGGGGTAAGTATACAGATCGGTGATGAAGTTGTACGCAGGACCAGCAGGGGGCGCAAGCAGTACGATGACTGTAATCAGCCAATGCAGGAACAAGGCTGTCGCCGGCGAGTTGAATGGCTTGTTCGATGCCCAAAACCTGCTCCACGGTAGAAGACCCTCTTTTGCGAACTCCTGGTTGAGGCGTGAATGGGCAAAACTGACGGCGAGCACGTTGCCCAGATTGCTGAGGGCAACAAAAGCGGGCAGACTACGTGCTCCAGCACTATTACCGAAAACGTTGCGGAAGAACAGGCCAGCCACAATTACCTCACTCTTCGCAAGATCGGACTTGGGGATGGCAGCGAAGTAAGCCACGTTCGCGAGAACGTACAAGATGGTAGTTCCGCCGATTGCCAGGGGTGCAGACCAAGCCAAGGTTTTCTTCGGGTTCCGAATCTCGCCCAACACATAGTTGGCATTCTCCCAGCCTTTGTAGGAGTAGATGATGCGCAACAGAGCTTGGCAATACGCATAGGCGCCGCCGCCACCATAGCCATCACCGACTTCCAGCGCGAAGGCGTTGTCGAAGTTGTGCGGCTGTTCGATCTTCAGATGACCAGCCAAAGCAGCAAAGCCAGAGAAGACGATGAAGAGTAGGATGAAAACCTTGAACACGCCGAGAACGCTGAAGAGGCGGATGCCCCATTTCGGAAACGTGGCATGGAGCACAACCGAGAAAGTGACACAAGCAACGGCTATGCCACGCGCCGCCCAGCCATCGGGTGCTTCCGAACCAGCTGCGAACAGTACGTAGCGACCGAAAGCGAGCGAGTTACCGGAAGAGAATCCGAGCAACAACATCTGCGCAGCAAGCACACATGTCGCAACGTATTTAGGGTGACGGTATACGCGCTCCAGATAGTTCTTCTCGCCGCCTGAACGTGGAATTGCGAGACCGAATTCCAGAAACACGGATAGCCCACAGAATGTGAGAATGCCGCCAATGATCCACAGGAAGAGTGACACGCCGACCGATCCTGTTGCTGCAAAGATACCAGAAGGAGTCGAGAAGACTGCAGCAAGTAAGCAGCCATTCGAACAAATGAGCATGAAGAGTACGTACTACCAGTGCCGATCATCTTATTCAGGATGACAAAGACTGTGGCCGTGTAGCCCAACTTCTGGGAATCGTCGTAAACATAGGCGTTGTCTTCCTGCACGCTGCCATCTTCGTAGACCGGTGGGGAAGGCGAGGTTTCATCGTTGGTGTAACGCGCGACCTTTGCGTCGTCGTCAGCGATCGCGGCCATACTCGGGCTTTGCTAGGAGCACCAGTAGTACCAATAGCTCGCGTCAAGTTGGTGATCAGAATACAGCCGAAGTGGTCGCTACGAATGGTTTGCGCAGAAGATGGACGGTTACGCGGTGGCCGGGATCTTGTAGGGTCATATAGCCGTGTGCAATGGCGCGATAACATGGTTGTAGCATGCCACGCGAATTAAATTGCGAATGCACTCCTTCCATGTCGCGATCAGCAAGCGCTGCAACATTGCGAGGCTTGAGTTGCTTGTGGTGTCCAAAGCTGGTCACTCCCAAGAACCCTGAAGAGGAAGGTGAAGCATGTCGCTGGTTGGAATGTCTTGGAACATCCTCTCAACGATGCGCAGAAAAGGCAAGGGCGATGTCGTGATCGCTGGGCATTATTAGCCTACCACAAAAGTACTTGGCGCGTACTGATTGCCTTGTAATGCACTTCAGGACGCCTCATGTCCGTCTTATGAAGATTTGGGAGTCTTGTAGAGTAAGGAACCGTTGTCGTGATTGTTCGCGGCGCGAAAGGGACAGTCCTGAGATCTCTAGGGAGCGGTGTCGCTCGGATATCGAAAATGGTTCACATCACCAAATGCGCATGCCGCTGCGAGGGCTTCAGGTAGTTATCTGACAAAGGTGAAGAGAGCTTAACATGTAGTTGTAGGTTGAAAGCAGCTGGGCGCGTGTCTTCTGTCAACCCTCGGAACTCCCGGCGACGTAATTTCCGGTCTGGCGCCGGCAATAGAGAGGGCCCACGAGCGGGCACTTCTTCAACAACACAGACGGCTTGCTCCTTCACGACCTCAGCTCACACCCCATATTCGCAGTAACACACCAGAGGACTCGGCGCTGAAAAGTTTTAATGGTCGTTTTCGTTGCAACTGCGATGATGGCTGGACTCCTGCTAGCGGTGTCGTAGCTGGAACAGAATCAGCATCTCATGACTTTGAAGCACTTGCGAGGCAGCTCAGCTTCGACGTTTATACAGGAACTAATTTCTGCTATCCTAGATATCATCGCAGTTTGATCTCAGGCCGTCTTTAGCCCACGATCTTACGCGTCATTGCATCACATAAACAAGCCTCAGTAAGCTCTGCGCCGAAGCTTGACCAACGCCACGGAAGCCTCACAGACAGCACGGAACATGCTTACTTAACGGCGTTTGACCATGGCTCGCTGCTCGCTCTCCGCGTCGGTTTGTCGGCTCTTCTGGCGATGTGAGATCATCTCCGAGGCTCGTTAGTGATCGGCTTAATTGGTGGATAATTTCCTCCATCTTCCCCACGTTCTCCGGATCTCTCTGGGTGGATACTCCCCGCGCTCGGTATACCTGGTAACGATGCTAATTGGAGGCATTGAACGGATAATTGATACTAGAAGTGCACTTGCGGCTGATGATGGTGCTCAGGGCACAACGGTAACCGGGCATTGCGGATGTCTTGAGCCACATGGGAATCCCAACCCCAGAAGTGCAGATACGATGAGTTGATATAAAGTGTAGGCCAAGCCTCAGTCCGCCAAAACGGTGCGCATTCTTTTTCGGGCCGTGTGGAAACTTCAGCCTTTCACCATGCATTGGACTACGCTACTTCTTGGCCTGTTCGAGGCATGCGCTGCTGTATCGACTGTCAACCGCAAAGCGTGCCAGTATCCGACAAAGAAGCCACTGGACGGTTGCCCTCAGAATACGATCCTGGTTGGCCCTGGCCGCAACTTCTCTACAATCCAGTCTGCGGTACTCAGCTTGCCAAACGACACAACGCCTCATCACATCCTGATCCTTCCTGGGAACTATACTGAGCAAGTCAACGTCACTCGGCCAGGCCCTGTTTACCTTTTCGGTCAAACAAAAGCGCCCAACGACCAAAGCAAGAACACTGTCAACGTGATATGGCGCAATGCAACTGGAGCTGGGCTATCAACATTGGACAACGCCTATACTTCCGTTCTCACCGTTGCGCCAACCTTCAACGCGAGTAAGACTGGAACCGGGCCAACCGGCGATCCCGTACCTGCAGGTACACCGTTCGGAAACACCGATTTCCGCGCATACAACATAGACTTCAGCAACTTGTATGCGCCCTACTCAGCCGGTCCGGCCCTGGCAGTCTCAGTGAGCTACGCAAACACTGGCTTCTACTACTGCGGATTCTACTCCTACCAGGACACCGTGTACATCGGCAAACTAGGCAACGCATACTTCTACAAGAACGAAATAGCCGGGCAAACCGACTTCTTCTACGGTTTCGGCACTGCGTGGATCCAGTCCAGTCTTGTCTCCCTTCGTAGCTGTGGCGGCGGCATCACAGCATGGAAAGGCACCAACACAACCTTTGTCAACAAATACGGCGTCTACATCCACGACTCCGACGTCAAGAAGGCCAATTCTTCCCTCTCCATAACCGGTCAGTGCGCGCTGGGCCGCCCTTGGAACGCTCAGCATCGCTCCATCTTTGCAAACTGCTATCTTGATGATTCAATCCAGCCCAATGGGTACATCAAGTGGGGTACTACGGATCCAAGAGTGAACTCCAACACCACGATGGCGGAGTACAAGGACTACGGACCTGGGTGGAATGAGACTGCGCGACTGGCAAGCAATGTTAGCATTGTTATGGATCGGAAGCAGTATGAGCCGTATTCCACGCTGGATAAGGTGTTTCAGTATCCGTTTTCGGGGGAGTTTGGGAACACGGCGTGGATTGATAGACACCCTGAGAGGTAAAGTGGATAGTAGGAACCTAGAAAATGCAGATTTACTGAACAACCTCATGCGCTCTCATACCATTCTCTATCTACGGTAATCTGCTGGGTCTACCACTTCCATCATCCGAGGCAATACTGTCGGTTCGCTTCGATCGGATTAAAATAACAGTTGACGACCTCTTGCCATCGATCACGTCCAGTTAAAGTTCGTGCCGCATATCGTACCTTTTCAGATTAGTAAGAAACATCTATCAGCTTGAATGCGCCTACTCACAGAGCATGTGAGAACAACCGCCATTCTTCTGTATCCTCGCGTTGCATTCAGGATTAGGGCAGGGTTTGGTGAGACGATTGATGGCCTTTAGGGATTCGTCTTCCTCCTCGACGCGGCCCTTGATGCGCACTTGGTACGCTTCGCACGTTTCGCCTTCATGGTACGGCCTATTGC